AGCCTTCTCTCCTGGGGCCCACAAGGCAAAGGCTCTCCCTGGCTTCCCCCGCCAGCTCGCCCCAGCCCCACACAGGGTCCTAGGGATCCAGCGCCTGCACTTCCGAAGGAAGCCAGCAGGCGGCGCCCTCGCACGGGGTGGGGGGGGGGTCCCGCCTGCGGGATCCCGTCTTAGTGGCCGCGGTGGGAACAGCCTCTAGATGCCCAGCGTGTTCTGTGCTTCCGCATAGCTTGAGGGACGCATGTAGGAACCGGGAACCAGGCGGGGTTTCGAATGGCAGAGCCCGAAGGGCCGCCAAGTAGTGTGCTCCTCGTTTTGAAGATGGAGAAACTGAGGCCCAGAGAGGGAGTGATCTTCCCAAGGTCACACAGCAAGACGGCAGCAGAGGTGCCCAGGAGCCAGCCCCCTGCTCCCCGTGCAGTGTGATTCCACTCACTCACAGATGCCTAGAATCAGGAACACTAGGGATATATGGGGGCAGATTTTCACCTTTTGCCTTGAAACTGGAAACCAGTATCCCCTCCCCATCCTCTCCCTCCTCCCCCTACCCACCCCCCAGGCTGGCCTCTCAGGTGGCCGGGGCCTTCCCCTCAGAGGCGGGGACACCACAGCCCAGGCTAGGAACTCGCTGGCCGTGGAAAGTCCGGAATGAAGCCTGGGGGGCATTAGCCCACTTGCCCAGAAAAGAAATGTGGCCTGCGGGAGGGAGGCCAGGGATGCATCCTCACACCCAGAACACGTGGGAGGCCCTGAATCCTTGTGGAGTGGGGGGGCCCCTGGAGTCCATCTCCTTGTGTCACAAACGAGGACTCAGACCACCCGAAACCAACTCAGAAGGGGTCACTGCAGGTCACGGGGCAGGCGACAGAGGCGTCCCTCTGCCCACCCTGCCGGCCCACCTCCTGGAGCTCCTGGCCCAGCCCCGCAGAGCTCGCCCTGCAAGCCGTCCTCAAGACCCTCCTCGGGGAAGGGCTGGGGCAGCGGACCCCAGACTGGAGTTGGGGGGCTGTGCGGGAGAGTCTGGGTTCTCCGCAGCCTGCCCGAGGTCGCCAAAGACGGCTTAGGAACCCTGTGTCTTGCTGTCCACCCACACCCGGCCGGTCCTGTGAGTGTCAGAACCAGGGTCAGACATGTGTCAGCACTGTCCAGGTCTAAGGTCAAGGTCAGAAAGGACACAGCCCCCAGCTCAGCAGTGCCTGCGGGTGACGAGCCCTTTGCCCTTCCTTGACCCTCAGTTTCATTCTCTCTGTTGGGGTAGGGTTTTTGCTTTCGCTATTTGTGTTTTTCATGTATTTTATGTCATTATTTCTATTAAGAGCATTTTGGGTGTGTGGACCCAAGAACCTGGGAATAAGTCGGCACCTATAACCTGATACTTTCCTATTCCCATAATCGTAGGTCCATGGATTTATCTGGTTCTGCATTTGAGGTTCTGTGCACTTGGTGTACAGCTATACACAGGCACCTGGGAGTAACGGGCTGGGCTTGGGCAGCTAACGTTTCATTCAACCGGGTTGAGCCCACACTTCGTATATGCACATAACAGAGATGCGATCGATTCTTTCTCATTTTTCCTTTTTAAAAAACAATAAATCATTTGTGATGCTTTTAACAAAAGTTAAATGAAAAGTTTGTGTCTAGGTGTGTGTGTGTCTAGGTGTGTGTGTGGTATGTATGTGTGTCTAGGTGTGTGTGTGTGTCTAGGTGTGTGTGTGGTGTGTGTGGTGTGTGTGCATCTAGGGGTGTGTGTCTAGGGGTGTGCGTATGTCTAGGCGTGTGTGTGGTGTGTGTGCATCTAGGGGTGTGTGTGTGTGTCTAGGGGTGTGCGTGTGTCTAGGCGTGTGTGGTGTGTGTGTGTGTCTAGGGGTGTAGGCGTGTGTGTGGTGTGTGTGCATCTAGGGGTGTGTGTGTGTGTGTCTGGGGGTGTGTGTGTCTAGGTGTGTGTGTGTCTGTGTGGTGTGTGTGGAGAGACAGAAACAGAACCCAGGAGCTGGCACCCACGGCGTGTCTGGAGAGCTTCAGAAACTGGCCATTTCCTCTCCTGTCGTAACTGCCAGGCCTCGGGGTGGAATTCTCCCTGCCCCTTCTGGTGGATGATCTTGATCCCCACTTCCGTGCGTGGCGGCTCTGTCGGGGGTCTTCTCCCTGGCAGAGGCTGGTGGGTGTGATAAGATGTTTGCTGTTCCCATGTCGATCCATCTGGAACACTTTCCTGAAAGATGGACCAGACTGGGGCCAGGGAGCCACGTAGGGACCTTGGCTCTCAGGACGCCCCACGTCGCAGTCAGTGACGGCTTCGTGGTAGGACGTCGAGGACACAAACATGCCCAAGTGGCCGGCTACAAAGTGCAGGCTCTGTGATCATGCTTGAGCTTCCCGTGAGCGGGGCAGGTATGGGTGTGCCCTGTTCACAGAGGAGACTGAGGCGCTTGGAGGGGGAAGTTATTTTTAGCCCAAATAAGAGGCGTTGCTCTAAAGCTCCAGAGAAACCCCAAATCCCAGGCAGACTCAAGCTGGTTTTCACCCAAGACACCCAAGTTTGGCGTCCAGAGTCATCAGGTAGCAACAAATCTCAAAGGAACAGACGGAAACATGCAACGCCCTTGACAAGCTGGCATCAGAGGAGCAGAAATACTTTCTCAAATATCCGCTGGGCTCGTCCCTCCAGCTCTGTCGCTGAAACGGAAACCCAACCAGTTTCACGTCGCCAATAACAGAGGGTCCCCCTCCAAGGACCTGGGGGCCTCCTTCCGGCCAGGGAGGAGCTGCAAGGCCAGCGGGCGACTCTGTGGGCCGGAGGGGCACCCCCTGCCCACGGCGGATCCCCATGGGGAGGTGGTCACCTCCTTCCTGCGTGGCACAGCCCAGGGACCCCTGCAGAAAACACCCCGGCACACAGTGAGGCTTCCCCTGGAAGGCACCAAGGCTGGTGTCAAGGCCAATCCCGTTCTGGTGGGGATTCGTGTAAAGTCAGGGTCAGGACCCTTTCGAGAAGGACCCCACTGAGTTGAGAGAGAGCACGGCGGCCCCTGACCTCGGGCCCCGCCGGGCGCACACCGCGGGGCTGGGCCTTCCCCCGTCCGACACAGACAGGGTCACCAGCGGCAGACCAGGCCTCTGCGACAGAGCTGAGAGCCAGCCATTATCACATCTGAACACAGACCAGCCGGCGACGACCTTGATGACCGCGCGCCGTCCAGCTGAGCACACGGGGGCGGCTCCTTCACCATCACGGCTCAGGG